GGTCGCATCTCTCCTTGCAGTGCGCGGCGCGGATCCCGGAGGCTGGAGCAGTACTCGACCTGCTGGAGAAATGTCCCGAGCACCAGGAGAAGGGAGGCTTTCCCGTCGTGGTCTTTGAAGGGCTGGATGCCACAGGTAAGAGCGACGTGTGGCTGAAGAACCGCGGGTGAGAAGTTGTTGGAAAGAGCAACCGCTGTGGCTTTCGGCCAGGCGTAAGGCTTAAAAATGCAAAAAATCCCGGAAACCTGTGACAGGTTTGAAAGAATTAGTGATTAAAAATCCCAGTCTGTCTGGTAGATGTGGCACTTGGGGACATGGTTCAATCTAGTCTACCCTTGATTGGTTTAGAGTGGACTTGGTAGTGTAGGTTAATGGTTGGGCTGGATGATCTTAAAGGTCTTTCCAACCTAAACGGTTCTATGATTCTGTGATTCTATGATTCTCTTACGGTCTATGCTGGTTTTAATTCAATGTGTGAATTCCGTATCTATGTAAATGAAAGAATACAAAGAGTGGAGTACTGGAAATTAAATTTCTCGTGCAGGTGATGAAACGCACTCTTACCGGAGAGTTTTCAAATAAATGAACTAAAATAGTGGTAGTCTGGGAAACTGGCAGCAGTTTGTCTCAGAGAGGAATATAAGTTGCCTCTGAATAACTTTGTTTTCTGTGTTTTCAGTTAGAGAGAACTGAAAATGCCCTCTAAAAAGAAAGTATTGGGTGGCAGCGTTGCAGCACTCACATGAATTGTGACCTAGAAAAGTATTGTAAATTAATATATCGAGCAATTGCCATGCATTTAAGGGTGTGAAGACTGAAGGTTGGCAAGAGGGAGGGGAGGAGGGCCCTGAGAGTAGAAGTGGCATAATAATTCGTGGAATGAGACCTGTAATCATTTTCCACTGAAAACCTTATCACAACATACTCAGGTTACATATACTCCAAGTGAACAGGTAGGAGTGGTTTTTTGGTTTTTAAAACTCAGTTGTATCTGATATGTAACATAACAAATGTTTCCTTCTGTAAATGAAATGCAGGCAAAACCACGGTAACCCAGTCTGTTAAGGAAACCCTGAATGGCATTCTGCTAAGGTCTCCCCCAGCTTGCATCAGCCAATGGAGGACAATATTTGATGATGAGCCAGCACCCATTAAAAGAGCATTTTATGCTGCGGGCAACTACATTCTTGCTTCGGAAATAGCAAAAGCATCCACTCAGGCACCTGTGATCATAGACAGGTTTGTACATTTAAGAAGTCCTCTTATATTGGTGTCAGCATACAGTTGTTCAGTGTTAGAAGCAGAAGTTGTCAATGATAGTCCCTGGGTTTCTTCTATTTTCTTTCTTTTTTTTTTTTGGAAGTGTTACTTTGCAAGTAGTCAGATAAATATTAAATCTTCTAAAGTGTAATACTTATGGTAACAGTAAGGTGGGAACTTCCGTCAGTGTAATACTCATAACCAGCTTTAGCACACATGAAAAGTGTTCCACCTTCAGTTAGGAATTGTGGAGGCATGGACTGTGCAGCCTGAGCCAAAGCAGGGCTCTGTGACAAACCTGAGGAGAATGAGGGCTGCTGATCACGGCTGTCTCTAAGAAGCATATGAGATATGGGTGGATTAGAATGAATGAGTTTTAGGTAGACTTACTCTTTGAGGATGTAAAACCAGAAATACGCTTCTCGCTTCTTTGGTTTTGTTTATGTCATTTCTTGTTTTCAGTGACTATGTAGGCAGCTTGCAGTATTATTCTTAATGAAGACAGTCTAGATGCACTTTGAACCCCCTGGCTTGTTTCAGTAGATGTACTGTAACCTCCCCCCACAACACACACACCCCGAAGTTGTTTGTGTATGTGTGAGTGCCATTTTTAACCAGCCTCAAAAAGCTCTACAATAAAATGCAGTGCCTCATAGTGGTGGGAACGTTAAATGCAAGTGAAACGCATAACAATTAATGCAGTCCATCTTCATTCACGTGGTTGAAGACTGCAAGTTCTCTACCAAATCTGTTGCATGAAGTAGGATGTGAACCACAAAAAGGAAACTGTGAGTATTGGGTTTGGACATATAATGTAACTCTTATTTTGACCCCTCTCATGATATGAGAAGTCTTTCTTTTGATAGGAGTATCTGGAACACTCTTTGCCTAATGTGTAGCTTCTGCCATCTGTTTTAATTAATAATTCACAGTAATTCTGAATATTGCATTGAGTATTTGTGGTGGTTTGACCCTGGCTGGATGCCAAATGCCCACCAAAACCACACTCTCACTCCCCTTCTCAACTGGACAGGGGAGAGAAAAATATAACGAAAAAGCATCTCTCTGTTAAGAAAAAATGGATGGCACAGAATTGTTCTTTACAATTCCCTTCAAAATCACATTGTCACCTACCTAGTCATTATTGCACTTGTCATTATATTGACACCTGTTTACTATATTACTGAATTAGTGTCCTCTTTAAAATTTCTCCCTCCGTTTTCTATTTTCCTGACAGATACTGGCACAGCACAGCTGCCTACACAATTGCCACTGAAATAAATGGGAAAGTCCAGGATCTTCCACCAGTTCATGATGAGGTGTACCAGTGGCCTGAGGATCTGCTTAAACCTGATCTTGTTCTTCTTCTGACTGTTGACCCTGAGGAGCGGGTCCGGAGACTTCAGTGTCGGGGGCTGGAGAAAACAAAGGAGGAAGCTGAGCTAGAAGCTAACAGCTTGTTTCGCCAAAGGTACACTTTAATGAGGAATAAGAGGATGGAGGTAATCTTGGCTCCTGTAGGATCAGTAGCAAAATGTCCCAAGAATTCATGGAGGGTCAGTTCTGTCACTTGTGACTGAAAGTGTTTGAAAGCTGCCGGTGAACAGCTTCATTATCCTGCAGAGGAGTTTCGAGTTAAAATACTTGTATTTTGCTACTTCTTGCTTTTATTGTAGCACCTTTCTTACCAAGGTCATGAAGAAGAGAGACCTAAAGGTTCCAGAACTGGGAAGCAAGAAGTTGAAACACATAGCTTCCCCGGAAAAGCCTGGAATTGACCTCCAGATTAAGAGAATAAAATTTAGACTTCCTCTTGTAGATGTCTTTAGTTGTGCTAAGTGTCTCAGGTCCCAATATAGTCAACACATTCAATGGAGCCTTTGAAGTGATCTAGCTTACCACTTGCTTGGAGCCCAGTGATCTAAGCGTAAGTATCTAGAGCCATTTGATACGATCTGAGACATCAGCATGAGGCTGGCAGATGTGATGCAGAACCTGTGGGCTGTTTCTGGACCAGCAACTGGAAGCTAGATGAGATAGTCCAGAGCATCTCAAGCAGTTACTAGATACATTTGCTCAGGCAACTGAATTGCACCCTAGGTATCCTACTTCAGGGTGCACTGAATTGCTGTCTAGGCTCCGCCAAATGTATTGATTAGATCATCATTGTTTACAGTGGAAACTTAAATACCTAGTGCTCGTGTAGATACCTCTGTATAGACGCCTGAATGTAGGTGTCTATCTACAAATAGCGAAGCTGAAATCTACCTCTAGGGTTTTAACATTTCTGGTGATGATATACCTTAAAAATATCCATTGGTGAATTCTGACAGAAGCTCTGTGCAGACGTGCAGTTCGCATAGAACGACCTGCAAAGGGATGGGTAAGCCAAGGGAACATGCTGCCATTTAAGAATCTTTCATGTTTTAATTGTTACTTCTTATTCCTGACAGAAAGCCTTTGGTTATTTCTGCTTGTTAATTATATCGACCTGGATGTGAGAACATTCAGAATCTTGCTTGATTCATCTTACAACTTGCGGCCTGAATGTTTGGCATTATTAATTCTTGGGGGAACGTAGAAAATTATATTCACATTCTCATTCACATCCTCATAGACTACATGCGGGAGAGTTCCACATTACGAGAAGGCTTATAGTCTAAGGGAGGAGCTTTTCATCCTGTATTTCATTCCAGTGTTCGTCTGGTTAGCAAAGTTGATCAGAGCAAAGGGTTAAACGACCTTTCAGCTCTGTAATCCAGTTCTCCAGTGCCTCAAAGCTGAGATCAGTCAGTGAGCACACCTACACAACACCATGCCATCTTGTTCAGAGACACCTTAGCAGGCTCTGAATAAATAACTTGGGTGTTAGAAGCAGGCTGTCTACTGTACTGCTGTACCGGACAGTATCCAGTGCTAAGCTGTAAAGAAAGAAATACTTTAATGCCATGCCATGTGAATATGGATAGAGCGCTGGGAATCAGTGTCAAGGAAACTATGTGCTTTGAGGTTTGCATTGTAATAGTTACTAATCATTTATTGCTCTTTGTGGAGGATTTCATTCTGCAGTGCAAACACTTTCTTCCGAGACTGATGACTAATGCCATTTCACATCCCTGCAATTTGTAGTTTCATTTCTCTTGTTGCCTTTTAGAGTTGAAGAGTCATACAGAAGGATGGTGAATCCTGCATGCCAGGAGGTCGATGCCAGCCCCTCCAGGGAAGAGGTTCTCAAGACAGTGCTACAGCTAATTAAAAAACACTGTGCTTTGTGAAAGCAACTTCAGTGTAATAGTACTTAAAAGGTACTTTTTATTTTGGTACCTGAAAATGCACTTTGATGTGTTTCATCCCACAAAGAATCTTCTCTTTCTTCTGTCAACGGTAATCTGGGCAGGTTATCTGTTTCACTGTTGCCTGCTGGTACTTTTCTGTATAAGGCAAAAACTCCCACGTTGTTCAGCATTCTTAGTAAAGCCACAAACACACTACGGTCATGTATGAAGTACCTCAGAGTGCTCTCTGACACTGTGACATTTCAAGACGCTATTGTGCTGGCATCTTCACCACCAGGCGAACCTGTTCCCGCATCTGTTGTGTGCCAGAATTCACTGGACTGCAGCAGGAGTATTAGGTGCCCAAGGAGAGGCTGAAATGTCATCCAGCAGTAAAACAATAAAATGATCATAACGTTGAGGAACAGAGAATCCAGTGGCCCAGTGTTGTTTACTGGAGTAGAGGATGAGCAGCTGTTGCTGTGATGGACACGCTGCAAAAAATGTGTCATAAATGAGGGCCAATAAGCATCTAGGCTTCTAAATAATAAAGTCCAAGCTGGTCAACATATGCGACTGAAATACCAATTCATTTCAGAGGGAAACAGGAGGATGCTGACATATTAGAAACAGAGACCTGAGAAGAACCTGAAATTAAAAACATTTGATAAATGATTACTAACATTTTTTTCTACAAACCATTTTCTCTATCCTATTAATAGCTTTGTCCATGTGAATTTCTATTCCTTTGAGAGAATGTGAAATGAAAAATCACAGAGAATTTGAGCAATGGGAATGATTGTACCTTTTCACTTCACCTTTTCTTTCTTGTGTGGGTTTTTGCCCATGTTGAATGTGAAAGCAGGCTACCATCAAGAATTCAGCTCTCCAGAGGCTTATTTTTATGTACATTATTTTCACTATTGTTACTTCTAGGTGTAAAACTAAACATATGGATAAGCCTTTGTGGGGTCAGAGATGAACTGCAGATCCAGAAAGAACATAACTAAAATGTAAATTTGATTTAAACCACTATTTTTACTTACTTTCCTGTGTTAAGCAAATGCAATTATCAATTAATCTGTCCTGTAAATAAAAATGTTCTCAGTACTGCAGTTCTATACTGCAGTTCTATTACTATGCAATTTCTATACGTAAGGTGATAGAAAGAAAAACTTCTAAAAATACATTTTATTCATGCACTGTTTAACATCTGTGAATATATGCTATTAATATAATACATTTATACATACAAGTAATGTACTCTGTTGTATTTGGTGTATTATTTGTATGTAGCCTCGGGATTTGCCATACATGCAGACTGAAAATATATAGCTGTAGCTGCCCCACTTATTTTAGAAATTATGAAGCATTCAGGTATTCAGTCCTGGATAAAGGAAATTCACATATAGGGAGCATGACTGCACATGGATGATTAGGATACAAATAGTGTGCCTGCCCTTAATGTTTTGTAGCCTTAGCTTTTCCAGTTAAGAGATCACTTGGCCTGAGGAGCGCCACTAAAAGCTTTTTCTCCTTATGCAAACTTGCACGTGAAGCCAGACTGCCTGGTTTTTGATGCTGAGTTCTTAAAAGTGTAGGTTGATATTTGAAAGAGTGCTGATAACATATATGCAATGAGTGGCGTCAGCAGACACTATTAATTACACAAATGCAGTATATATTCGTAATCCATCTTTTTCTTCAACCCAAAGCTACTTAGGCAGGCTAACAGAACAGCAAAGCAAGGTAGATCAAACCAACATGTCCTTTTCTCGTGTCTTTGTTAGAATTAAAGGTCTGCAAGAGGTTGTGTGCCACATGCAGGATCTTAATGTGCATAATCATACTTCTCGTTTCTGTGGCATTTCTGCCACATTTTTGTCCACAGTGTGTAAAAAGACTGCACTGTTACTTTAATTTACATCTTTAACAAATGTAGGGGTTTGTCACTGGCTGCTGAAACGCAGGCAGCTCTGGGAGAGGAGCAGCAG